TTAATATTTATTAGTATTATATTTTTACGAATAAATAGCGACTGCGTTTAATAATATGATACATAAGTAATTTTAACCTGGTTTCTCTCAATGTCTCATGGTTATCGGCTCAGATGGGCGTTTCCTGACTTGTTAAGGGGGTTGGACGATCATTTGCAACCACCGTACTAGTGACTTGAAGAAATAGTTCTTATTTATGCCTTCTATTGAGAWATATGGAGTTATATTGGGCAGGATTATAGAACGAAAGTATAGAAGAACGATTGTCTTTTCTAAATCTTTATAATCTTCTCTTCTCTTATTTTTATAATTTTCTATACGATAATGGACATATTATTATAGGTTTATAATAATATTATGTTTGATTACATGTAWTTAATACTGGACTATACACGAAAAAACTCTTCTAATAGAAAGCTATAAATTATAACAGTTTGCGGACCGCCATCAACCGCGCATCTTTCTAGACAATTTTTTATTCGCTATGCAGTAAATAAATATTTTCTTAGATAGTAATTTTTCTTAATGCAGGACCAGCGATCTTGAAGTGGGTGACCAGATTGTGAATGTCAACGGTCGCCGTCTGGCCGGATTGAACGCGGCGGATGCCAACCGTTTGCTTAACGACGGATGCAGCTCAGTACACCTTCTGGTTACAAAACATGATCCGGAGGAGGACCAGACCGCAAATGACACAGGCCGACCACGGACGAGGATGCCCGAGACGTCTGTGGACTACGATCACAGCGGTGGAAGCTGCACGGCGCCGCCTATCCAAAAGTACAACAAGAACGGACAAACGTTGGTATACATAACGCCACCACCACGCCCACGGTTAGCCGCCAAGAGCAAAACCAACGTGTCCACTGTGTACATTAAGGGTGACAGCAGTGGTGGCGTCGGTGATGATAGTTACCGTGGAGTCGATGTGCATGATGGTGGCGGGCAGTTCGCCGGCACGGATTGCACGACGTTTTGCACGTTACCGCGGCGACCGAGGTCGACGGTGTGCACGTTCCACACGTTCGTGCTCGAAAAGGGCCCGGGCAAAAAAGGTCTGGGATTCACGATTGTCGGTGGCAAAGATTCACCGAAAGGGGCCATGGGAATATTCATCAAAAGTATTTTGGAAAACGGCCAGGCTGCGGAAGACGGCAGATTAAAACCTGGTAAATATATGAGTTAGGATTTTTCCGTACCTATAGCTATTAAAACATTAAAACATGCAAAGCAAAATAACCTAAATAAATCACAAAAATTGACTAAAAATTATTTGAAATAAAAATCAATTTGAAGAAATATGTACCATGTACCTATACTTATATTGTTCTATTATTTGAGTTTAATTTATATTATTATGCATAGTATATATGAACATTATAGTTTAATTAGTTAAAAAATTCTTTAAAACAATATATGGAGTGGTTACCTACGTAATATAAAAAATAAAAAATAAAAATTGTAGACCCAAAATCAAAAGTTATAAAGAATTTTATAAATTTACAGTAGATAACTATAGTTTTGTGTATTGTATGGGCCAACAGAAAAACAACAACATATAACTACAACTTTGAACTCATAGTGAACTCTATAACTAATAACAGTAATAACATATATCATATATTGATATTTTATTAAAGGGAACAAATGCATTATATTCGGGTAGGTACTAACGTATTAAGTAATTTTGTATACACTTAACAACTGTAATATTTCTAAAGATAAGTAATTAAAAGATTAATAGTACACAAGTATATTTTCTACATTCCAGTTTAAGTTCTTACTTCTAGTACATAATCGATCGCATGCATTTTTAAATTTTTTATTCTACAAACAAAAACCACAGAAATTATCTAACGATCAGACAATCTAGTCATATTATTTATCGCAATGTAATTTTATCGTCTTTAATAACAGTTAAAATGTATTAATAAATAATAATTGACTAATCATAACATTGTTACATTATTTGTGTAATCTGCATTATAAATTGTCAAATACTCTCTCATACGGCATATTATGTCATTTATGTTTTATTCGAATAATATTACGAATAAGTAAATTATACACACTTTCAACCAAACAACATTTGTCTTTACAGATGAATGTTTATTTAATATAGTCTTGAGTAGTGGATTTTAAAAATGATCTGACAAAAAAAATAGAATATAGCTTATTTAATATAAAGCTAACAATTTTGGAAATTTTAGCCAAATTAATGACGCATTACGTACATCAGAAATGTGTAATTCAATCAAAGGTTATCTATACATTTCTGAATACGTAACTCGTAAAATTATTTATAGTTAGTTGATTGGCTTGTATATAGTTTGTTGTGTCAATCATATTTTAATAAAATATGTAATTACTAATTACTTATTTATTATTACAGGAGATGAAATACTAGCAGTTAATGGAAATGTTTGTCACGACTTGACTCATTCAGAAGCTATAACACTATTTAAGTCATTTAAAAGCGGTTCTATTGTTCTACATATTTGTCGTAGATCTAAAGCGTCAAATAGGTAAATATTTCTATATAAATAATACAAAATAATAATTTTTATGCATTATGCTTCAAAATTTAGTCTTCTAAAATGGAATATATCTTAATATCGTATACCTATATCTGATACCACTATATAGGCTGTATAGCTGTGTCAGTATGTTTAATCTATTATACTACTATTATTATTAAAATTTATACTGTTGTAAGTTAAAACAACATGATATGAATATATTTGACTCAATTTACTTTTAATAATATTTATTTCGTATTTCGAGGCTTCAATAACAATATAATTATATAAGCCCGTCTAAAAAAATATATATTTATATATTTTTGTAAGTTGTAGTGTTGTATTTTAACAATATAGTATGAATGGGGGCGGTGGTAGAGTCTCCCGATTTTATGGTAAACTCTCCCGATTTTTAAAAATAGTAAACTCTCCCGATGGTAAACTCTCTCTCGGGTTAATATTATGTTTACCTGAAGTAAATGTGTAAACTCTCCTGGGTCAAAATTATGTTTACCTAAAGTAAATGTGTAAACTCTCCCGGGTTAACTTTATAGTTATCTGTAGGAAGTATGTTAACTCTCCCGAGTTGTTTTAAATGTTAAAACATTTTTTTAAGGAAAAAAAAATAAATTCCCTAACTTTTTTAAAATCTGTATGTTCTTATTATCAAAAACAATAATTTTAACATTTTTGCGTATATTTTGTTTTTGTAACTTATATTATTATTGACTATTTTTAAAAGAAACTTAAATGTATATTAGATTTTTTGAAATTTTATTTTTTATTGTATTTTCAATTTTGACTATAATATTATAGCTCATAGCATCTAAAGACATTAATTTATATTGTATTATTATTATTGTTATTATATATATGATCAACTATTTTTAAACGCAACTTAAATTTATATTAAATTTATTTTATGATTTTTACTAGACCTGGAAGAGTTTACATATTTCCGTTAGATAGTACAGGAATAAACCCGGGAGAGTTTACACGTTTCCGTCAGGTAGTACTGGAGTAGACCCGGGAGAGTTTACCATCAGGAGAGTTTACCATCGGGAGAGTTTGTAATCGCCCATATGAATGGTAGGTTATATCTATTGATTAGACTTAGGAACTTGTTTATTCATTACATTATAGTTGATCTTATTTTGTCATTCTTATTTTTTTTCTTATACCTATATATTTCTACGATATATTTTTAAGTCACTTTGTTTTGTTTAAGTTCCTACATTCAAATTTAATGGTATCGTAAATCRGAACGATTTTTTGAAATTATACATATTATATCCACAGCCATGGTAATTCTCTGATTTCCGAGCTATATCCATCAACGCTATTCCTGGTRACCCCAGAAGGCGTCTTAAACATATCTGGTGTCGTGACCTACTCATCTAAAATTGTATATACCTCTACCTCCCTTTAATCTTGTATACTCTCTCTTGCTAGCACATTAAAATCCTAGCCTAACATCCTAAGTTCTAACCTTAAGTAAATATTAAACTAACGAAGTTAACAGCTAGACGTGAACTTCTGAGTGGAAAATTTGTTGTGTTACGCACTTGTAAGACGAAGACAACATATATGCGGGTTTAGCGTCCTCTTAACTATAGTCATATTTTTGACGGAGTATAGTATGCTTTATGGTAAACCCTTTGAGCAATATAATTTGAATATGAATAGTAGTTTACTTATAAATCGATGAAGAAAAAATTTAGTTTAGGTTCATAAGATATTAAAATCAAAATAAAATTAGAGTGATTTTAAATCTTATTTTCATTTTACATACCAAAATTTCTAACAAAATAATATATATTACTATATTAGTAATAATGATATGCTAAAAAAAAATATATATATACAAGAACTTACATAATATTATGCAAGTTTATAATTATTCCCTAAGGAAGATTGTTTAAAGGAGGATTTACCACTTTTAAGTTAATTTAAAACTTACAAATATTTTTAGTGTAGTTATGTAATAAACTAAAAATACTGTAAGAAATTAAAATAAAACTATTTCTAAATGTAAGTTATGATAATAATATGAATTTTAATCGGGATCTTGTTCCTTATTTATAGATATTTTAAAAATGAACAKTTTACATTTGTTGTTCAAAAAATATTTTTATTTAGGTTGCAGTAATGTTGTTGTTATTATTATAGCTTATAAGTCATAATATAGAAAGCCAATGTATTTTTATGCTCTTGATTTTTTATTTTATTATTTTTTAATTGTATGATGACTTGTTTTTTTTAGAGCTACCAAAGCCAAGTCATGTACGAATCTATTGAGCGATGACAATGCAGGATCGGATTAAGTGCARTGATGTTTTTCTTTATTTTTTATGGTTCCAATCGTTACAGTCTAGTCCTAGGCGTCAATTAGAAATTATGTTGTTTTTATGGTTAATCTATGACCTCGTGAAACATGTATAATTTAGATTTACATCGCGCCATAATGATATGTAAACACCATGTCTTACGTCTCATGTTATTATTGAGTAGCCATAATTTTTGTATACCTATATTTTTAAGATAATTTTGAAAACCGATATTAATTAACGTACTTACAAGTAATTAATTTGGTTATTTAGTTCCTATAATTATTCAGACGTTTATGAATGTCTAGAAAATGTTCACAGTAGCTATTTCAGTGTTACTCAAGATAATCATACCTAGGTATATTTGTTTTATATTGTCAGATAAAATTCAACAGCATAACTATTATATCTTTTGATAAGTACTAAATATTAATAATAGTTATATACTAGAAATATTAAATAAAATTTTGTTTTTGTTCTGTTGTTGAATTAAAGATTGTTTTAATAGTTAATACTACCTAACTAGATTATATTATGTTCAAGAACACTTCTACTAGAAGACAATGAACCATTTTGTACTTTCTATATACTACAATTGTTTTTAATTTAAGCAGGGGCGTATTTAGATATAT